GCCCGCCGTGCTGCGCTGCCTGCGCGCCGAGCGCTTCTCCGTGGGCGGCGCCGCCTTCCCGGCCGACTTCTGCGAGGGCACCTTGCCCTACTCGTACAACCTGTGCGTGGCGCCGGCACGCGCCGTGGCCGAGTGCGCTTTGGTGCCGGCGYCGCTGCCCAGCCGCGCCGTCGACGATCTTCTCAGCGGGGACGCGCCCCTGATGCTCACGCCCGGCAGCACTTGTGCCCCAGCAGAGCCGCCCTCGGATCACGATGCCGTACAGGTATCTAAGACGGACTATTCCTCGCTCCTGTCATTATACTGTTATGATCCTTGTTTGTACATTTTAGTTTTGATAGTCTTGCGCAGTAATCGGTCTGTAAAAAGGCCTTTTCTCTGCTTCTCTTCGTTATCATCACATCAAATAAGCGTGTGAGTGTGCTTTTTTTTTTCCGGGGTGTCGCCTGGCCACGCCAGGCTTTGACGTTTTCTGTTCCCTGTTGCAAATGGCAAGGGCTGATCGCTTTAGGAAGTGAAAGACGACATCCGTCATCAGGAAACGCGCAAAGTCGGCTTTCTTGGAAGGCTCTAGTCTTGGGTGTAGCTCTGCTTGAAACGGTGAACATTAGGAAAGGCAATGGTGTATCGTCACTGTGTGTGGGTTGTTCTGGGGTCTTCTGTTTCTGCGTGTGGGGAGTGGGCGAATTTGAGTGAGGTTTCAGGTAAGACGAGTGTTTTCGTTTTCTGGCTTTCCCTATATGTTGAGTGCATCGAAGCCGGGTGTGCTCGTGCTGCTGAACATGCAGGGTCTGGAGAAAGGAGAAGGAGAGGCAGTATGTATGTGCCTTGGGTAGCCCCGGGGCATTAAATTGCAATTTTAATGTCGCAAAGCCTTTATTGTCTTTATTATTATTTTCTTTCTGTCTTTCTGTCCTTCTGTCTTTCTGTCTTGGACAGCTATTATTTCACAGTCAACAATATTAACAACTCCTTTGATTTCTTTAAATCTCTGAATCTCTCAACGTCTTTGAATGTCGCTTTACATGTTCTGTAATTGCTTTTAAAATGGCAGGAAAACAGCTTTAGTCAGTCACTTTTAAAATATATTTTAACGTCCTTAATCTAGATTTTTATTTTGAAAGCAACTGTGAGTGCATTGTCAAAAATACACTTATTTTATAGAAGTGTTTGTCGTATGAAACGAGCCTAGTAATCTTAAATGCAATATTGAGTGAGATAGGATGTCGTCGTGAAGGAGACGTTATTTGATTGTCACCTCAGCAGGTAATTAGAGCAATTCGCACAGATAAATTTTGAAAAGCAGTTCTGTGATCTTTGGGTTCTTCTTTATTTAAAAAAAAAAAAAAAAAAAAAAAAAAAAAAAAAAAAGGTAGAATGGGCTGCGTGATTTCCTCTTGAGTGTAACTCTTAGGTGTTTTTATGATCGCTTTTCTATCTTCCACCACCACCTCCTCCCCGTCCGTGTCGTGAATAAGATGACAAAGATGTGTCTGTGGTCGCGACGTGGCCCTAACTTCTCTCTAAAAAAATAAATAGGTTTCACCGTCTACCCCTACATTTTTTGTGCAGAAAGAGTCGAAAAATGAGAGTGGAGAAAACGTTATTTCTGTACGGATGTAAATATGCTGCATTATTCGACTATTTCTTATGACTTTTCCCGTCTACGCTGGTAGTGCAAGGCGACACTATATCTCTTATGTCGAGCTTAAAGGAGAGCTGAATGGAATAGCCCTCTGTGACGATATTATTTCTCTTATGGTCTGTAATTTCTTAGTAATTCACTGTGATTCTTACTGATAGTGTATTTTTGCAACGAATGTAAAGCTACTTTTGCTGTGTGTGAATTTTCCTAGTTTGCCGGAATGAAAGATGTGGTTTCATTGAATACATTTACCTCCCAGTAATTACTGTGGCAGAGAGGCAAGTATGCTCTTCTAAGATGATAGAGTTTTTATGTTTTTATTGTTATAGCGTTTCTAATAATTAGGAAATGAAAGGATTACTTAAAACAGATTAATCATTCATTGATCTGATGTTGGATTTGTAATATCTGTTACAGATTAAGAATGTTTTCTTAGTGTTTTTGTCGAATGAGACATTTTGGTATCTTTGTTAAACGAGACTTTTTAGTTTCTTCTGAAAGTTATATATGTGTGTGTGTATTGGGTTTTTTTCCCCAACAAATGAGATGCAAATTCTTATTGCGATCTTTATCAAGAGAAGCAGTCTTGGTAAGAGTCCTGTGTTTGGAGATGGAGACATTCTCAGACTGGATCGATTTTGACTCCTTCCTTTTCACTGTCCAGTGTTTTCTAATACGGAATATAGCTTATAGCCGAGTGGATGTATGTTTTTGTTCTCCTAGACGCAGATTTTTTTTTTTTTAATGCACTTATTTGTAACTCTCTCTCTCTCTTTTTAGCTAAACAAACGACTTCAGGCGATTACTAAAGTGATGAGTTACAAGGTTAACTTTTAGCGTGACAGAATATGACATTTAAATATGGTTACTGGAAAGGGAGGCAGACCCTCCAATGTTGCACCACTTTTGTTGTGCAACTTACCTTTCCAATTAGCTTACTCAGGACAATTCCATCCATAATGATTTCTATTTGCCTCATAATTTCCTCCACCTTCCCCCTTCACATCATGTCCAATTAGAGATGCTGTTTGCGCAACAAACCTCTATATGACATGCTCTTGCTTGTGACATAGATTTATGTGCACCCTACAGTGCAAGTACTGATATTTTCACATTTGAGAGTGCTCAAAAAAAGAGCAAAGACTTCTTGTGCAGGGAAGATATGTGTTTCAGTCTTTCATCTCTTGTAGTTTTCTTACAGTAGGACTCAGTGATGACTGACTCCCTTATCACAGGAAGTCAACACTGAGAAAGTTCTGGGGACAGGCATTCATGTCCCCTGCTTTGTTTCAGAGCTCCAACAACTGTGCTTTGTGCTGCTTTAATTGTTGTGGTCACTGTCTTTGAAAGTCCTATGTCACTGAATGCTGCTGCATCCTCTGCCTGCATACCTCCATCTTTATAGTGTTGACGTGACAAAAAAAAAAAAAGTTATGAATGATTAAGGCAGTTACTTACATTGCCATATTCAAGCATCGGACCAAGAGTTCATAGGACATGTTAGCAATGTGTGACATCTGATTCATCACATGATGTTTAGCTTGTCATATTGCTTTTTCACACAACTGGTAACTATTAAGCTACTTCTCTAGTAGTACCTCTAGATATCTCCCTATATCCCAAATACTATAGTTCCTTACAGGAGGGTATCGCTTTACATATTTGCCCACTTCAAGAGGTGACACACGACAGGGACACATGGCAGAGAGAGTGGCATACATGTTATGGTGTGTCCTGAAAAAAGAAGGTGACACATGGATTCAAAAGAATAGGAAGAATATGCATTTGTGGAGAGGTCTGAGGTGACAAATTCTTGGGGATGAGTCAGAGCTTGCATTGGCAGAAGCTGAAATCACCAGTGTCTTTGATTTCTAGGTTCATGTGCTCATGGCCACAAAAATGTAGTGATGGGGTGGTCAAGTGAAACAAGAATGTTGAGGCATTAACTGAGTGGCTGCAAAGTGTAGTGAAAAATGACTTTTGAGATCAATGCTTTGAGAAGAACAGAGAGAATGAGGTGTAGAACTGAGGAAAACGGTGTCCTATGTGTCTATGTCTATATCTGTGCTGAGAGGGTTGACTTTGAGTCCTTATGAATGAATGATCTTCATAAGATGTATTCCTCAGATAGGAGTTGAAGTATTCTGTGAATCGGAGAGCAGTGTGTGCTTGCAACATTAGCAGTATGACTTATTGAACCCTGAGGCCTTTCCTAGGCCTTCCTGGGAGCTGTTGGTTGCTTGCTGGAATACCATTGACTTGGAACAAGAGAGATCACATTCCAGATGGAAGAAATTTTAGTTCTTAATCAGTGTTAGCTCTATATCACTCCTTCAGTGGACCCATGAGTTTGGGAGCAGTGCAGCTCAGCAAATGTTGCCAATGGCTACAGCTGTACTCCACAAATATGTAAATGTGTAAGTCCTGCTGTTGCAAGAGGTCTCTTCTAGAATTGTACCTCTTCTAGCCTTTGTAGGGTATGAATCAACTAATGCCTGTGTCTTCTTCTAGAAGTGAGCAACTCTGAGAAGGTGTAGAAGAATTGCAATGCATCCCTTTTTCTAAAGGCCTCCAAGAGACTTCCCTTCTGACGCCTTTTTGAGTGGCAGTGTGTAATTCATGGTACAAAGTCATGGAGATATTCTGAAAAGTTGTCTCTCTGTGGGAATGCTGTCAGGCTGCAACCCTCTGCATGCATTCAGCTTTACTGTATTGCCGTGATCAATAGTGTTTGAATGCTGTGTGTACTGGGATACCTGATAGTACTTGTAGCACGTGTCTTTGGGATGACATTGGGACAGAGGAGGAAGGAGGGGGAACTCAGTGAATGCTCTAGTGATCTTGACAAGAAAGCAACTAATGTACTGAAGCACGTTCAATACAAATATTTGGACCAGGCCTTTAGGCCCTGTGTGTAGTGTAAGACATCTTCCATTTCCCCCCATGGCTTTTACTTTACAGTAAATCTTGTAATTTGTCTCATGTTCCTTGACTTGCAGTACAGCTTTTCCTGTGATTAGTAATAATTTACTGGGTTTTCGTTTGTTTTCAACTTCCAGAGAAATGTTTGTTTCTTGGTGGTATCTCCTCCATTTTCGACAAGCAATTTCCAGGTAGTAGTTAGAATGAGATTGCATGCAGATGTGTTATATCCTTCAGTTATAGAATATATTTCTATTGGAAAGAGACATCTTTTGCTCAAAGGTGAGGAATCACTCTTATGTGCATATAAATTGAATTCTGAATATCTGTTGATTGCAACCTATTGTGAGGCCACAAGGGAATTTACCATTCCTTGAAGTCTGCGAGACCATGGTTTTGGTCTGGGCCTCTAAAGCAAACTGTCTTTCAGAGATGTATTCCACTTTGGCATCAATTCTAGGGTTTGACAGCTCTGAGAATGCAGTGCCACTGCTACCCCTTCACGAAGACTGCAAACACAGTGAAATCCCTTGAGCATTACCATTTCCATATTTGTAGGTGCTGTCCTTAGGGTCAAAGACTTTGCTAATAAGAGCTTAGAAAAAGTTGCCATGCTCCTGTCAAGAAGGAAAAGCTGATCTTGGCATTTATATGGGGTATTATGACAGAGTGCTGAGGCCTCTTTGCATCCTAAGAAATTTAAACCATGAAGCAGTCAAGGCCATAGTGTGAAAAGAAACCCTTGCTTGTAAATGATTTCTGCAATTACCATAATATTATGGAAACAGATAATGGAAATGAGAAATCCAGAAGTACTTAGGAGAGTACAGATGCCTACGGGAGACAATCAAGACTGAGAAAGTATATAATTCTTGCATGATACCGTCATCACTTCAAAAAAAACCAGAAACCTCAGCCCTGACTTATCAAAGTGTATTGCACAAAAGACGATTGATTTCTTCTTTGAGTTAACCTATTTTGGCAGCAGGAAGTGTAACATGGGGATGTCCTCAAGCTTCTCAGAATCGGCTCTTACGTGATGAGCTCCCGTGGAAAGAGGCCGGCTGCAGCATGTCCCTTTACCGGTGGGCTGCAGTGTGGGCGCGGGGCCTCCGGGTGCCGCTGTTGCCCGATGTGAAGCGGCACCGCAGACAGAGCCGCAGCCGCCGCAGCCTCCCGCGGGGCGGCCGCTCGCTCGCGGAGCGCCGGGCGGGCGGTGTCGGCACGGAGAGAAAAAGCCGCTGGGAGGACGAGAAGAAGTGGCGGCAGAAGCRGTGAGAGAAGATTATATTTCTCTATCCAGATATAATCAWCTTGCTAGCCGTCATTTGAGCTCGGGAGCTCGGGATTTGAGGTCTCGCGAGCGCCGCACGGACAGAGACGGAAAGGAAGAAACGGGAGAACGGAGCAYAGMGCGYATTCCTGAGAATGGAGAGGCGGCACAGACAGAGGCACTGGATGRGACCCCTGGCAGGGCTGCTGTGCGCTTGGCTGCTCTCSTGGGGCTGCCGGGCGGCGCCGGAGCGGCTGCGCTATGCGATTCCSGAGGAAATGGAGARSGGCKCCGTGGTGGGGCCGCTGGCGCGGGACCTGGGGCTGAGCCCGGCAGACCTGCCCKCACGGCAGCTGCGGATCAGCTCGGAGAAGCACTACTTCGCGGTGAGCRCGGACAMGGGGCACCTGTACGTGAGCGARCGTCTGGACCGCGAGSAGATGTGCGGTGASTCGGYGTCCTGCTCGGTCAGTCTCGARGYGGTSGTRCAGAACCCKCTCAAYGTTTTCCACGTCGACGTRGAYATCCAGGACATCAATGACAACTCCCCRGTMTTCAGCRAGGCTGCTMTCGAWCTGGCGRTCGGGGAATTRATCCTTCCTGGTGCGCGATTTCCSCTSSAGATRGCRCAAGATCCGGATGTGGGAAGCAATTCAATGCTAAACTACCAGCTCACCGAAAACCCCTCCTTCAGGCTGGAAGTGAAGGARASMCCARRYGGMARSARGCAGCCYGARCTSGTGTTASAAGCAGSTTTGGATCGCGAGAAGCAGAGCTCGTTTSARATGGTRYTGACGGCGGTGGACGGCGGGTCTCCAGCGAGGTCGGGCACTGTCCAGATTCGCATCAACGTGACAGACGCSAACGACAACGCGCCCGTGTTCAGCMAAAGCAGCTACGAGGCGCGAGTGCGGGAGAATGTGSCRACGGGYTCGCTGGTGCTGCAGGTTCGAGCCACGGACGCRGATGCGGGCTCCAACGSACGAGTCTYCTACTCCTTCAGCAAYGTGCCCGACGCYGTCCGCGCTGTKTTYAGCATAGACAGCGAGAGYGGTGACATCCGCAATRTSGGAATTCTGGATTTCGAGGAGCGGAATAAATACAMCTTTGRAGTMGMWGCRASRGACGGGGGMGGRTTGRGYGGTCASWGYMARGTACAYRTAGAGATCACGGACGAGAACGACAACGCRCCCGAGATAACGACGTTGTCTGTGTCGAGCTCRGTACCCGAGGACTCYCCGCCYGGCACCGTGGTTGCCCTCATTAARGTTCGAGACCGGGACTCCGGCGAGAACGGGAAGGTGTGGTGCGAGCTGGARGGCGAGTCGCCGCTGTCGATCGTGGCGTCGTCGGGCAGCTCGTACAAGGTGGTGACGGCGAGCGCGCTGGACAGGGAGCGTGCGTCCGAGCACAACGTGACGGTGGTGGCGAGCGACCGGGGCATCCCGTCGCTGTCGAGCCGCACGGCGCTGTCGCTGTCCGTGTCGGACGTGAACGACAACGCGCCGGTGTTCGAGGAAGCCGCGTACAGCGCCTA